ATTTTGAGGGAAAAAAAACTCAGCAGTCAGGGGGCTTGGCAATATTTATGCACTGGCGATTTTTCCTCCTGAGCTCTATTTTCACCCAAATTTCCCTTTGTTCCACTCGACCAAACTCATTTATTTGCAGCACAGTGGCCCCTTGGGGGATTCGATGGCATGGGGGTTATTCGTTAAATTGGTATTCGATGCATTATACACAAAAAATTTTCCCCCGGTTTTTTTCCGATTAAAAACCCCGGATTCGATACGATTCTAAAAAAGACCTGCCCAAACGTGTGGCCTGAACTGCCCGTGTTTTCCAGTTTTACAACCCAGCCAGTTTTGGCCGCCCCCATCTAAGGATACATTGGGTTTTCCTTTCCATATTTTCACTGTGTTTGGTGCTTGTTTCTGAAAAATTTAATCACCATGGGCCCCAAAAAACTTCTAGTCCCCCCAACCCTGGGGGAAAAAAAGGGGAATTTAGTAGGGAAAATTAAGAAAGATTTTGAAGGGGGTTTGGGGCTAACCCCTGGAAGCCTATCCCCGTTAGGGAAAACCATTGTCCCTTTATTTTAAAAAATTTTAAAGGAAATGGTGCACAGTGGGTTGAAGTGAAAACCTTTATGGATAAAAAAACACCCAAAACACAGCTATTCCCAAGCCATGCGGGTGATGTTAAAAAGGCCCAATGTTTGGCCCATTTTAGAAAAAACCCGAAAAGGGAAAACGGGGGGTTTAACCAGAGCTTTTGGGCCAATTTGTTGTGCGACAGGGGGCCCAAAAGCCCTTTTAAAGCTGGTCCTAGGGGCATTAAAAGAAGAAGGGAAGTAACCCCGGGGAAAAAGGGCTTGCTTTCCTCAAGTCCTAATTTGGGAAAGGGGGTTCCCCTTCTAAACACTAACAAACCCCTCCCCCCCTCCCATTTCCCCTCAAACAACACCAGATCTTCATTAAAATAAGTGTTCAATTATTTTTTTGTTTTTGCAATTATTCTATTGCTTTAAAATTAAAAATTTCTTTTAAATAAAATTATTTTTTTTTTACTTTTGGGGTCTTGCACGGATTAAATTTTATTTCCATTATTTCCTTTTGAGGAAAATTGATTCGGTTTTCGATTTTTCAGTATTCGATGAGGGTCTAGGAACCCGGGTTAATTTTCGAATACGGGGGGGGGCCCCTTTAAAATTTTTTATCGATTGAATACAAGAAAACCCATCATTTTCCCATTTTAAAAGCCCCAAAAAATGATCAGAAATTGGAATTTGCCCCAAATTTTACACAAAAAAAAAATTCCCAAATTTTAAAAAAGGGGCCCGAAAAAAACAAAAGTAGAAAACCCGGCACTAAAAAACCCTTGCCCCTGTACATTTTGTTACATTCCCCGGCCTTCTTATTTTACGTTGTTTTTATTTTGGAAATTTTTTTTCACCCCCAAAAAATAAAGATTTTTCTGTTATTCAGACTATGTATTATTGTAATAATTGCCCTAAATAATGTCACTGCCTTCCTAAATGGGGTATTAATGGCCACTTGGGTTGTAAAAAGGGTGGTGATGTCATTTGTGTACCTGGAATAATTTGGGAAAAAATTGAACAAATTTTCCTAAAAATTTTAGCTCAATTTCCCAAACTACCCTTTCCCGTCCTAAACCCCCTTTAAACCTACTTGTTTTTGTAAAATATCTTCCTTTTGTCAAATGAGACCAGAAAACTGGAATAACCCCCATAAAACCCCTAAAAAAAAAACATGCAAAATTTTCTTTTAAAACAAAAAAAATTTGGGGCAGTTTTTTTTTTTCCCTTTTCAATGCTTGCTCTCAGGATTATTTTTTTTATTTGGGACACATTTACTGCATTTGACCCATTCTCTCATCTTTTTGGCCCCCTTTTCCGCTTACAGTTTACCCGGGGTTTTGTTTTAGCCATGGTGTAAAACGAAAGGGAAAAAAAACCCCCAGCTTTTAAAGCTGTATACTACAGGAAAAGGGCCTTTAGAAGGGGTTTAAAATTGTCTTTTTATTTAAAAATTTGTTTTAGGTAGGGGTTCCCCCTAATTGGGTAACTTAAGAAATTTTCCCTACCCAAATTAAAATTTTTTTTTTTTGACTTTTGCTTAAACCCTATTGCCCGGTATTTCAAGTCACCGGCTTTTCAAGGGTTTACCCCTAAAACCTTTTTTTTAGAAATTAATTCAGGTTTAAAACATACATTTACAGGGGTAGGTTTATCCCTAACTCCAAAACAAAAACAAAAAAGGGGCATCACTTGCAGTAGACTGTCAAGTTCAGAGGGTCTGAGTGGATGACATGGGAAAAATTAGGGAAAAAAAGGTACACTTATTTTCTCCAGCATTTGGAGTGAGATTAACAAAATTAAGAAAGCCCAGAGGAAAAAAATGGATTTGTCAGGTTAAAAAAAAGGAGAGGGGGCTTATTAAATGGGAGTTAGAGGTATTGGGAAGAGGAAGGAATATTTTTGGGAATTTTTAAAAAGTTGATGGATAGGGAAGCTGTGATTTCGTTGAAAGGGCAAGGAAGGAATAACATCTTGTAGGAGTGAGGAAAAAGCCAGTTTTTGAGTGTGGGGGAAGTTCCCTTTAGGCATTTGGTAAAAAGAAAGGGGGGGAAGGCAGCCCGGGGTTGATGGGGTTTTAAAAATAGAAATTTAAAAAAAGGTGGGGGTTTTAGTTTTGGGTGGTTGGTTTCCCCTTATTAAATAAATGTATGGAAGAGGGGGAAGGTTTCCCCAGGGAATTTGGGAGAGAGCATGCATAGTTTTTCCCTTTTTTAAAAAAGGGAAAGGGGATAAAAGAGAGTGCAAAAATTATGGGGGGGTAAGTCTGTTGAGTGTACCTGGTAAAGTGTATGGTAGAGTTATAATTGAAAGAATTAAGAGTAAGACGGAAATAGGATAGCAGATGAACAAGGAGGCTTTAGGAAAGGTAGGGGGTGTGTGGACCAGGTGTTTACAGTGAAACATATAAGTGAACAGTATTTAGATAAGGCTAAAGAGGTCTTTGTGGCATTTATGGATTTGGAAAAGGCGTATGACAGGGTGGATAGGGGGGCAATGTGGCAGATGTTGCAAGTGTATGGTGTAGGAGGTAGGTTACTGAAAGCAGTGAAGAGTTTTTAACGAGGATAGTGAGGCTCAAGTTAGAGTATGTAGGAAAGAGGGAAATTTTTTCCCAGTAAAAGTAGGCCTTAGACAAGGATGTGTGATGTCACCGTGGTTGTTTAATATATTTATAGATGGGGTTGTAAGAGAAGTAAATGCGAGGGTCTTGGCAAGAGGCGTGGAGTTAAAAGATAAAGAATCACACACAAAGTGGGAGTTGTCACAGCTGCTCTTTGCTGATGACACTGTGCTCTTGGGAGATTCTGAAGAGAAGTTGCAGAGATTGGTGGATGAATTTGGTAGGGTGTGCAAAAGAAGAAAATTAAAGGTGAATACAGGAAAGAGTAAGGTTATGAGGATAACAAAAGATTAGGTGATGAAAGATTGAATATCAGATTGGAGGGAGAGAGTATGGAGGAGGTGAACGTATTCAGATATTTGGGGAGTGGACGTGTCAGCGGATGGGTCTATGAAAGATGAGGTGAATCATAGAATTGATGAGGGAAAAAGAGTGAGTGGTGCACTTAGGAGTCTGTGGAGACAAAGAACTTTGTCCTTGGAGGCAAAGAGGGAATGTATGAGAGTATAGTTTTACCAACGCTCTTATATGGGTGTGAAGCGTGGGTGATGAATGTTGCAGCGAGGAGAAGGCTGGAGGCAGTGGAGATGTCATGTCTGAGGGCAATGTGTGGTGTGAATATAATGCAGAGAATTCGTAGTTTGGAAGTTAGGAGGAGGGCGGGATTCCCAAAAACTGTTGCCCAGAGGGCTAGGAAGGGGTTGAGGGGGTTTCGGACATGTAGAGAGAATGGAGCGAAACAGAATGACTTCAAGAGTGTTCAGTCTGTAGGGGGAAGGAAGGGGGGTAGGGGTGGGCCTAGGAGGGTTGGAGGGGGGGGTAAAGGAGGTTTTGTGTGCGAGGGGCTTGGGACTTCCACGGGCATGCGTGAGCGTTTTTTGATAGGAGGAAGGGAGAAAAATGGTTTTTAATACTTACGTGCTGTTGGAGTTGAGCAAAGTAAATTTATGAAGGGTTTTTGGGAAACCGGCAGGCCGGCTTGAGTTGGAGATGGGAAGTACAGTGCCTGCACTCTGGGAAAGGGGGGGTTTTTTTGTTGCAGTTTAAAAACGTAGTGTAAAGCCCCTTTTGGCAAGAAATGATGGAGTGAATGTGGGGAAAGTTTTTCTTTTTGGCCCCCCCCCTGCCCTTTGGGGGGAATCGGCCCGGGTGGAAATAAAAAAAAAAAAAAAAAAAATTTTGGGGTTTTTTGTATTTTCATAAAATGTGACATTGTTTTTAATTCAAAACTTAAAGGGCAACAAAAATAAATTTTTAAGTGGCAAGTAATACTTGGGACTGTGGGGGCAAGTTATAGTACAGCATGACAGCTTACTAGTTGAAGTATCCTTCCCTCCTTCGCCAGTGTGCCTTGGGCCCTTTTTTTCACCTGTGTCACGTTCGGCAAATTTTATGTTCTGCTTAAACATTCGATTATAGCTGGTATAATAATGAAATCAGTTCCAAGTTTGGGGAGAGAGTGGTTAACCATGATTCTGGATGAGCATAAGCCAGTTAAGAGAGGGATCACTGCATTTGGTGTCTAAGACTCAAACAGTGATTTTAAATTTTTTATGAAGTGGTTTACAGTGTCTTTGAGGGAGAGTAACAAAAATATGTGGAGTCGTGACCTTTACCTAAATAAAAGATTTTTTGTTTAGGAGTCAGTGGGAAAAGCAAAATGAGATTAAAGCTTAAATTAAAACCTGAGACATTCCAAAGATAAGAGTATGTAGAACAAACAGTATATTTTTAGGATTATTATAGCCACTTTATGCAATGATGTAATTAAAAAACAAAATATTAATTGTACTGTATTTGTTTTTTCTTCTTTTTTTCAGGAAAAGAAACTGTTCCGCCTTGTAACAAAAAACTTAGTAGATTCCAATATGTTAGTACGATCATTAGTTTTGTCCAATGATCTCTTCACTAGAGAAGGCAAAGCTGTTGAGTTTGCTTCTCGCTCGAGGACACTAAGACATGTTGCAACATTCAAGCAAAGACTAGACTTCTTGGTACAGCTAATCAAGACAATCAGTGTGGACACTTTAACACAGGTCAGTATTCCAAATAAAACAGTAATAGTGTAAGTACCTGTGGCCTGAGGTTACCTGTAGCTCCATGGTGGCATGTTTGGTTTGGAACCAAAAGAACCTGGTTTTGATTTCCAGATGAAGTGAAACATATGGGTAAATCTTTCACTTGCTATGTTCCCCAGCAGTAATTAGGTACCTAGGAGTTGGCTGACTGTTGTGGGTCACATCCCTGGGGAAGGCAGCAAATGAAATTATGTATATTATTGTCTTCGAAGGGTTATCCTAGGTTAATAGCCATCCTGGGTTCTTCTGAGTTAATAGCCCACCTGGGTTATCTTGGGTTAATAGCCCTCCTGGGCTAAACAATGTTAAGGATGCTTTTCTTATTGCTGTTTCTGCTCAAGAAAGGTTCCTTGATACAGGTGAGGGGCTCTTGATCCAAGGGACCTGCAGTAGAAACAAGTCACTTATTTTTTTTTTTTTTTTTTTTTTTTTTTTTTTTTTTTTTTTTTTTTGTTATCCTAGGTAATTTACATGTGGTACTATGTATGATCATTTTTTTCAATGCACTGGCTGTCTCCCACTGCGGCAAGATGACCTAAAAAAATAAAAAAGTTTTTCTTGTTTACTTGTAGTAATTATACAGGAGAAGGGGTTACTAGACCCTTACTTTTGGCATTTTAGTCACCTCTTAAAACCCACATGGCTTATGGAGGAAAGATGATTTTTCACTCCCTGAATTTGTATAACTGTGCTTACTTGTACCAGTACCTAAATAAACTTGCATACCTCCCTTTGGTTGAACCTAAATGTGCATCTTTCTCCCATGTGATGTATATACGACCTCTGTAGGTTTAGTGTCCTTCACCGTGAATGTAACAATAGTAATCTGCTATTTTAAATTGAAATCTGTTGTGATGGATACCGGTCCACCCCCAGACACTTCATTCTCACCTCCCACGTCTTTTTTCACATTGCCTTTCTTCACGTCATCCCAATACAGTGATCCCTCAATAATCGTCCGGCCTGAAAGTCGTCCATTTCGGAAATAGTCCTGTTATTTGGTCTAAACATTGGCTCGCAAATGGTCCGTTAACTCGCTAATCGTCTTTCATCCTGGACGCGTACTCACGGCTCTGAGCCGCATCGTCCTCCCTTCCCAGCCAGTGTGCTATTGTTTACCAGTGAGTGACGGTCCCCTCACGTGTTCATACGAAATATTTCATAATATTCCATTCATTTTAGTGCTTGAAAGTGCTAAATAAGCTAACATGGCTCCAAAGAAAGCTCCTAGTGCCAAGCCTTTGGTAAAGAAGGTGAGAAATATGATTGAATTTAAGAAAAACATCATTGAACAATATGAAAGTGGCGTACGTGTGGGCGAACTGGCCAGGATGTATAACAAATCCCGTACAACCATATCTTCCATCATAGCCAAGAAAAAGGAAATCAAGGAAGCTGTTGTTGCAAAGGGGGGTAAATATGCTGACAAAAATAAGATCACCAGTACTCGAAGATGTTGAGAAGTTATTATTGGTGTGGATAAACGAGAAACAATTAGCAGGAGATAGTCTTATGACGTCGCTTATTTGTGAAAAGGCTAGGCAGTTCCATGACGATTTGGTAAAGAAATTGCCTGCAACTAGTGGTGATGTGAGTGAATTTAAGGCCAGCAAAGGCTGGTTTGAAAGATTTAAGAAGCATACTGGCATACACAGTGTGATAAGGCATGGTGAGGCTGCCAGTTCGGACCAAAAAGCGGCTGAAAAATATGTGCAGGAATTCCAGGAGTACATAGAGGCTGAAGGACTGAAACCTGAACAAGTGTTCAATTGTGACGAAACAGGCCTCTTTTGGAAGAAAATGCCAAAGAGGACCTACATTACTCAGGAAGAAAAGGCACTGCCAGGACACAAGCCTATGAAAGACAGGCTGACACTCATGTTCTGTGCTAATGCTAGTGGGGATTTCAAAGTGAAGCCGTTACTAGTGTACCATTCTGAAAATCCCAGAGTGTTCAAGAAAAACAAGGTTATGAAGAGTAAATTATGTGTGTTTTGGAGATCTAATAATAAGGCATGGGTCACGAGGGACATTTTCGTCGAGTGGTTCAATGAAGTGTTTGGCCCTGGTGTGAAGAATTACCTCCTGGAAAAGAAATTGGATCTCGAGTGCCTCCTAGTAATGGACAATGCACCTGCTCATCTTCCAAACTTGGATGACCTAATTCTGAAGGAGTTTGGGTTCATCACAGTAAAGTTCTTGCCCCCGAATACTACTACTCTCCTCCAACCCATGGACCAGCAGGTCATTTCAAACTTTAAAAAACTCTACACCCAAGCAATGTGTGAAAGGTGCTTTAATGTGACCTCAGACACTCGCTTGACCCTAAGAGATTTTAGGAAAGAACACTTCAGTATTTTCCATTGCATAAGCCTTATAGGTAAGGCTTGGGAGGGAGTGACTACCAGGACTTTGAACTCTGCTTGGAGAAAACTGTGGCCAGATTGTGTCCACAAGAGGGATTTTGAAGGGTTTGAGGCAGCCCCTGATGAGCCTATGTCAGTTATGAACTCTATTGTGGCACTGGGGAGTTCCATGGGGTTGGATGTGAGTTTGGAGGATGTGGAAGAGTTGGTCGAGGACCACAACAAAAAGCTAACCACTGAGGAGCTGCAAGAGCTTCAGCAGGAGGATGTTAGGTAAGACACATATGCAACAGTTAGGTATCTTTATTTCGAAACGTTTCGCCTACACAGTAGGCTTCTTCAGTCGAGTACAGAAAAGTTGATAGAAGCAGAAGAGACTTGAAGACGATGTAATCAGTCCATCACCCTTTAAGTTTTGAGGTGGTCAGTCCCTCAGTCTGGAGAAGAGCATTGTTCCATAGTCTGAAACAGACTATTGTTTCAGACTGTGGAACAATGCTCTTCTCCAGACTGAGGGACTGGCCACCTCAAAACTTTAAGGGTGATGGACTGATTACATCGTCTTCAAGTCTCTTCTGCTTCTATCAACTTTTCTGTACTCGACTGAAGAAGCCTACTGTGTAGGCAAAACGTTTCGAAATAAAGATACCTAGCTGTTGCATATGTGTCTTACCTAACAACCTGTCGGTATTTTATACCATTTGAATGTTCATTCAGCAGGAGGAGCAACAGATCGCAGCTCAGAATCTTGCTGCAGAGGAGGAGGAAGAAGAGAGATGGAAGAAGGTGCCTTCTTCAGAAATTAAGGAGATTTTTGAAATGTGGGGTAGGATGGAAAGATTTATGGAGGAACATCACCCTGAGAAGGATGTTGCAAGCCATATCGGCAACTTGTACAGTGACAGAGTCTTGGCCCATTTTAGGGAAGTTTTAAAGAGACGCCAGAAACAGAGCTCTCTGGACAGTTTTCTTTGCGAGACAGGACTCCAGTGACTCTCAAGCTGGTCCTAGTGGCATTAAGAAACAGAGAAGAGAAGTAACCCCAGAAAAGCACTTGGTACCTGAGGTGTTGATGGAAGGGGATTCCCCTTCCAAACAGTAATTCAATGTCTCTCCTCCTCCAGTCTTCCATACACTAAGAAGAATCGCCAATAAAGGTAAGTGTTATGCTGTTAATGTTTCATTCATCATGTGCCATTGTATTTTTATGTACTACATCTATATTTCATGTAAAAAAATTTTGTTTTAATACTTCTGGGTGTCAGGAACGGATTAATTGTATTTACATTATTTCTCATGGGGAAAATAGATTTGAAAATAGTCTGTTTCGATAATAGTCCACTTCCAGGAACGGATTATGGACAATAATTGAAGGACCTCTGTACTTCACTTCTTACTAGTTTCCAATTCCCTCTGCTTGTTGACTTTACTGACTCTCCTGGCCGGTAGGCATGTGCAAAGTGTTACTGTTATGCTCTCTTAGCTGATCATGGCATATTTACAATGGAATATTCGAGGCCTCGCGAGTATTCGGGGAGAGCTTCAGATATTGCTCTTCTCAGTTTTCCCTTGTTTGTGTCTGTTTGCAAGAACCAAAATTGCGCTCTGCTGTTGACCATCCCATTTCGGGGTATATCTTATTGCATTCATCGGATTGTTTTCCCACTGGGACTTTCAATGGAAGTGCACTTCTCATGTGCCACAGTATACCACATTCTCGGCTCCTTGTCTTTACTTTGCTGCATTACACTGCAGTCCACACCTACTTGGACAACTGTTATAGAGTCTGCTCTTTATGTCTTTCTCCTTCTTGGCCATTTTCTGTTCAGGATGTGGCATCTCTGGTTTCTTCCCTACCTCTCTTCTTATTAGGAGATTATAATACTCATCATTTCCTCTGGGGAGGGTCTCACTGTGACACTCATGATGACCATTTAGAGGCTCTTCTCACTTCTTTTACCCTCCATGTTTTAAATACGGGTACTCCCACTCATTTCAACCCTCACACTCGAACACACACACTTGCATAGATCTCTTGATTTCCTCCTCAACTGCACTCAACTTCATCTGGTCATTGCTCCCTGATTTAAAGGACAGTGACTATTTTCCCATCTTATTTGCTTCTCATACGTATTCTTAATCTTGAGCCCATAATGGTGGCTTGATTGGGTGAATTAGGCCACTTACTCACATCAAGCTGTTTTTAGTGAAGAACCTTCTCCTTTATCCTCAACTGCTGAGCTATTACAATTATTCTTGTCCTCGGTTTTATCTGCAGCCTCAAATACAATCCCTCAAACCTCAGGTAGGAACCTTCAGATATATGTGCCTTGGTGGTGTTCTACTTGTGCTCGTGCAGTGCATTTGAAATGTGCTGCATGGGGTCGATATCGTTATAATAGGACCACAAAGTGACTCCTTGATTTTAAGTAGGATAGGACAGTTGTCTGACATTCCATCCAAGAAGCTAAATGCACTTGATGGCAGGATTGTTTCTCCTGTCACTTCGACTTCCTCTGTGAGTGCAGTTTGGAAAAAAGTACAGAAATTGAGTGGCAAATACTCTCCAGACCCAGCTCTGGTTCTTAGGGT